AGAATCAGCAGCATGCATGTCATGACTGTTGGGTCTGTTGGATTTCTATGACTCTACTACACCTGCTAGGAAATTATCTGCTATGTAGAAATATCATTTCCACCAAAAACAGTGATTGATCCGGTTAGTGATGTCTGACGGCTAGTATTTTCAACACAACTGTATGTATATATATATATATATATATATATATATATATATATATATATATATATATATATATATAATGTGTGTATGACGAATCCATCCACACACCACGCCCACAGCGACTAGTTAACCGAGGCGCACACGTGCGGCTGTGACTTGGGGTAAGGGGGAATAAAGGGGACTGAACTTTGAATATATAAAACCGTATATAAGATCAGCCGTGATATACTTCCACAGCTGCACTACCTTTGTCCACCACCAGATGGAGACTCCACTCCAATCCAGCTGGTCGACCACACACTGGCAGATACAAATCTTACATACAATCTGGTGTACACTAAGGGTTGAGGAGCCTAGCAATACACACACCCTTCTAGGATGCCTCCAGCTATCCTACGAGCCAGAACCCCGGTGTTAATCACTCTTCCACTGTCCATCCCCCCGCACCAGACACGCCACAAAAGGTAGCCTGCCACCACCCAGCAGTTTATCCGCAGAACGGTCTGCTGGGACACCACACACATACAGATCTCCGGCTGGCAGATCTGTTACCTTTTACAATCTGCACGCAATCTGCCCACACACAGTGCAATTGCATACTGATTGGCAATGAGCTTGACCGAGCGTTTAAAGGCACTAAAATACGATACAATCTAATCTCTCCAATCCAATCTCTCCGGAGATGAGCCCGAGCCTAAATATACTGAAGTCACTAATTAATTTTAAGCTTTAATTTCCCGAAAGTGGGCGGAGCATAAAATATGTACAAAGTATAAAAAGTTACAGAAATACAAGGACACTATAAAATAAACGGGAATAAAAGACATAAATAATACTTCTACCAAGATCTAGCCTGCGACTGAAGCAAGTCAGAAAAGTCAGCAATCCGTTAGTCTATCGACCAGCTCCATACGAATCACATATGTCCCAATGTCCGGGTACTCCATTTATGGGGATATGGACGTAGGCGGGACATTAGTCCTCGGCCAATTGACCCTGGGGGGTGGTCCTGTACCCGCCCACAGGATGTTCTGGGTGCTGACCTACCCAAGTTCAATCGGACCAAGACCAGCTTGAAACCCCAAGTCAGGGATTGGATTTCCGACACCAGCGCATCGGCCCGATCACGACAGTACCAAACACCATTTGACTGTCACATCCAGCACCACCTAACCATTTCCTGCATTTTCCTGGCCTTCTACCTAAGCCACAAATATGAATATGCCGATGTCGCCTACAGAATGCCCTACAAGAAGGGAGTATGTTCATCTCTCTGCAACTAATATTTTGCTTTTATGAGAGATGGAACACACCCCTTTTGATG